TTACTTTTACTTTTCTAAACTCTTTCATCAATAAAAGAGAAATGAATTTTGTGTACCACTAAAAAAAAAAACCCTAGAAAATCAACAAAATAAAATCTCTCAAATGCCAAAATAGAAATTCTGAAAAAGCAAAGAGCAGATTATCAAAATAGACTTAAAAAACCCATTGAACTAATAAATGAAACTAAGAGTTGGATTTTTGAAAATTAAAATTAAAAAGTAAACCAATAAAATAGATGAGCCATTAGCTTATTTGATTAAAAAAAGAAAAGAAAACACAACTAACCACTAGCAAAACAAAAACAGTGAATTCACAAGCAAAGAAGAAGAAATACAAGCAATTATTAAGGTCATTTTGCCCAAATATGTGCCAATAAAACCAAAAGATAAAGGGAAAGGTGGAATAATATAAGATTCTTATCAGATAAGGGAATTTCACAAACACGAAGTGAAATACTCCTCAGTGATGTTAAGATAAAGGATATAACTACCTCTGTGTATAAATAAGGTAAAGTGAAAGAGTAGGTCAAGAGAAAGGAAGTGGGAAGTAAAGGTATTTGAGGAAGCATTGATACATGTTGAAAGCCTCTACTATGAAGGTATGAGTTGAGGAGAAAGACTGAATCAGAAACTTAACTCATTGAGGAACGGAGAATATCTTAGAGGGCAAGAATTCATAGATAAAAACTACTAGGATTTGGATTGGGTGATAAATCTGGATGCTGTGAACCTCAAAGGACTTCTACTTTGCTTAGTGAAGACAGCAGAGAATGTGAAATTACAAATGGGGAGTTAGAGATATACTGACTCCCCCCACCACAACTAATAATTTGGGAGTCGGGGTATGACAGAGTCAGAAGTATAAAATGGAGTTTTTGTTGTTTAGCCATTTCAGTCATTTCTGACTTTTTGAGACCCTATTTGGGGTTTTCTTGGCAAAGAAATGGTGGTGGTTCTCCAGATCATTTTACAGATGAAGAAATGGAGGCAAACAGGGTTACATGACTTGCCCAAGGTCACACAGCTACTAAGTGTCTGAGGCCAGATTTGAACTCAAGAAGATAAGTCTTCTTGACTCTAGGCCCAGTACTCTGTACACTGTGACACCTAGCTTCAACTAAGAAATTGATCATAACAGTATATTCCAGAAATAGCCATTACTATAAAGGGTGGTGAGGTATCGTCAGAAGTAAGTCAGGTCTCAGTGAAGGCCAGAGATGAAAGATTAAGATGAAAAGAAACTATTCACAAGGAGAATAGGCTTGAAGTGCCTAGGGCTGAGGGAGAGGTGAGTTAGAGATGGAAATGATGTTTTGCATAGGCAGCAGGAAGATCAGGATCACTTGGATGGGGGTAAGAATAAAAAGAATAGAGCATGTTAACCACAGAGGGGAGAGTCTAGGCAGAGAGAGTTGAGTGGAGAGAGACCCCTTGAGGGATATTAGACTATATAGGTCATCCCTTGAAATACAACCTGGGGTAGGTGGAGTTATTTTATTCAGTGAAATGCAGAGATCTTTTCTTTCCATGCAGCTTGGAGATTATGAGTATTTGGTATGGCTGCATCTATTAAAAACATTGTTTTCAAGTTTTTATCGATCAAAGTTATGTCTGGGAGATTGAGTGTTCAGTCTGTGATCGTGCTACGGTATCAATTTACTTGGTTTAATTTGCCAAGATATTTGGAGTCTGTATTTGTAGTATAGGGATTTGTCATCTGTCTGTTGATGAAAGATAATATCCTTCTGAAGTATGATTCTAGTTCTCAGGTTGTTTCTTGCTAGTTATTTGGAAGGTGCTAAATTTTTATAGTCGGCAATAATATTTTGTAGTTTCTACCATTTCTTGCATAATCTATATTGATCACTAAATCCTAGCTGCTTAAGGATAATGATCCTTTTGTAATTTTGGTGGCAAAGACCTGGTCCTGAATTGCCAGTATAAACTCTTCCATTTCCACATACAACTCTGCATGACTTGGTTGTTTGATCTGTTTGTTTTCTTGTTGACATATTATTGATTTTACTATTGGATCATAGCCTGTGGGCTTCATCTGGAGGTAAATCATATTTGGTTACACTCAACAAACTCAGTGGTATGTATTTTTTTTTATCAGCCTTTACTATTTCTTGGTGAAGTGAGGTTTGCTTGTTCCAAAAGTATTTCCATAGATTTCTGACCTATTAAGTATTTGCTCTAAGAATGTCAATTGACCCTCTTCCCCTTTCTGATCAAGAAGTGTTATTCTTTCTATAGCTGCCTTAGAGTGATAGATCTCTTTTCATTATTATATGGGTTTTTGTTAGTATGCTTTTCAAATCTGTTATGATTCATTTTATACTTCTGAAAGTATACATTAAAACTGATATTGAGGTGTTAATTGCTTTAAATGTGTTCTTCCCATTTAGCTCTGATTTTAGGACGCCAATATAAACAGATTCAGCACAGACTTCTCTTTGATATATCTATTCCTAATGTGTTTTCCTTGCAAGATTCAAGATACCGTAAGATATCACTTTTATCTTTTGATTTAACGTAACCTGGTTTAGGTTTATAGCCTTTAGTCTCTGTCTTTCCTTTGTGTTCATTAAGAATTTAACACTTATCAAGTCAAATTACATTTTGATATAGTTAGAGAAAGATTTCAGAAGATGAAGGAAGAGCTTAATATATTTTTGGTGGAGCTACACTATATGTAAATCAAGTGCTTAATAAGGTGGTTTGATCTGACTCTTTTTAATGTGAAAGCCATACTTAATTCTATTTGGAAGAGATGATAATCGATTTCAGCCCAGGCAAAATCATAATGGTTTAAATTGCCTCCATGAAAAAGGTTGTATTTTACATTGACTGTTCTTGATGTTTTTTGTGCCAGTGGCACATTTTAAATCGAAAAATTTCCAGGACATCAAACAATCTAAAACGTTGTCTATGCTTGGATCTATTTATATACTTACAGTGTACATTTAAGACATGACTGTGAAACTGAGTAAAAAGCTCTGTGCTACCCTATGAAGGCAAGATGAACATTACAATGCTTTTGGGCAGTTCTTTCAACAATTACCAAACCAATAAGCTGCTCTTTATATAACCCTGGGACTTTTTTGGCACAACCTTTTTGCTCCTCAGGTAAGATATTAGTTTCTTTCCAAGCTTTTGTAATTCTTTTTTTGTGGTACAATCTGTGAATGCTTTGTACATAAATATATAATCATCCCATGATTGGGAGAGGAATTGCTAGTGTTTTTTCACCTTTGGTAAAAAAAACCCCAAAAACGTGATACCTTCTGTTAAGAAAGGCTTGTGTCTGAGCTGGTAAAGTGCTTTGCTAGCAATTCATGAACCACTTTGAAACTTCTTAGCTAAAAATTATCCATCTTATCTGACTTCACCATTTTTACAGTATTTTAAAGAAGCCAGGGCTTTATTTCAACTCCCTTGATATTACCATTTGTTGTCCATTATATTAACAATACAAAACCTTTCTATTTTTCAGGGTCTAATTTGCCTATATATATTGTATTGGACTTTTTGTGACCACATAGAGCAGAATTTTCAACACCCTTCTTCAGGTATTCTTTCTTGTCTTTATTTCTCAAGTTTCTGTAGTAAAGTTCTCTGTGATGCTCTGCCTGATATAACTTCAACATTTAGACTTTTGCTTTTATTTGCTAATTTAAATAATTTAGAATTTCTGATATGCTTTTATTTTCTGGATTTCTTTTCAAGGGCTTCTATTTTGTTGCCTTTAAATGGGTGATATAGGATGTACCAGCTAGATATATGCCTTTCTACAGATATTCAACAGATCACTCAAACTGCTTCTGTGATGGCATTGCTTGGTCCCTCGTCTTAAGGGTATTCCTTGTTAGTTCCACCTTTCTTCCTATTATCCCTCTTACCTTGGCAAGCCTGTAACATATACTGAAGTGTGTAGGCCCTGGAAGATTTTTGTACTTTCTGTCAAATACTGTAATAGAATGTGTTTATTATGTAAGAATTCATGTCATAGGTATCAGATTTTAAAAATTACACTGTTTTGGAATAATTGATCTGCCAATTAGATTCATGGTTTCAAATTCAGAAAGGGATTTTCAGAATTATTTTCTAAGCATGCCCACATATTTTTCAAAATTAACTGATATGTTGGTGCTACTTTTGTTATCTATTTTGTTATAAGGCAAAAGTTTTGCATTAAGTATTTTAATGACATTAGAGTCTTCAACTTTTCTCTAATTTTTAGCATTTTCTTGATTTTATCTTTTGTAGCATCTAATCTAAGCTTGGGATGAAGTTACTTTCTACAACTGCCCTGCACTGGTCAGCATACATGGTTCTGTGAACTGGAACTGTGATGCCTCTGATAAAAAGCAGCATGAAGCCTTTGTTTACAATTGGTGAGTTCTCTTTCCATCTTTGTTATGATACAGTAGTAGAGCATAATGTAAGTATTTCATGCATACTTGTGGTTTGTATGCTTTTGTAGATAGTGTCATCTGCACTGAAGCATTTCTACCAGGTGAGGGATTAGTACGTTTGATTTGTTCCAATGTAGATTGCTTTCTTGGAGTACCATAATAAGAAGGACTTCACAGTCTTTTATGACAAAACAATCATAATGATAGTTTCAAGTAGCCCCAGCTTGAATCTATATGCTGCCCCATTTATTTCTTAAATTCACAGAAGGCATTTCATAGCACTGGCAGGATGTTAACCTCTGGTGTTGCCAGAGTCTAACTACCTCGTGTTTCGAGGTTTCTTCCAGGCTTTTGCAGCTATCGTAGAAATCTTAGGGCACACAGAGTCCCTGCTATACCTCAACCTTGCTGATATTCTCTTACTCTGCCATTCCTCACACCCTCTCTTACCCATAATATGTATTCTGGGTTTCACATCATCACCATTATTAGAATAACTTTTTCACATAATAGGTGTTTCTTTTTTAGCGTCACATATAAGAGAATACAAAACTCTTAATGTTGTTAATGGGATTATCTCACCCTCGTCTGATTCTGTAGTACTCAGGTGGGCAACCACAGAGATAACCGCCTTCTGCGCTGGAGCAACCATAATTGCATGGGTTGTTTGTTGATAAATATTCATTCACATCGTGGCATTCACTGGAAAACTGGTCAAAAGAGAATCCAGATGGATAAGTACACCCGTCACTTCCAAAGGTATTGTAGAAGGAGGCAGAGCCACAAGCATTTGGATTGGTGCACTCATTTTCATCTATTTGAAAAACAGAGGACTATTATTCAGGAACATCATATAGAATTAATAACCCTCAAAAGCTTTACATTTTAAAAGAAGTAAGAGGAGAATTTTATTTTGTTTGTTTCCATGTCCATGAGGACCTTAGAAGTTGAAAACTATGTCAGTGTGCTTTTGGCATGAATATCCTTTATATTTGATTTCTTATTTGCAAGCTATACTAACATTCCTCTGAAAGAATTCGAGATTTATCTATTCAATAATTCCTCTTAAAATATAACTACTTCAGGGGCAGCTAGGTGGCGCAGTGGATAGAGTACCGGCCCTGGATTCAGGAGGACCTGAGTTCAAATCCGGCCTCAGACACATAACACTTACTAGCTGTGTGACCCTGGGCAAGTCACTTAACCCCACTGCCTAGCCAAAAAAAAAAAATATATATATATATATATATATATACACATATACATATATATATACACACATATACATATATATATAAACTACTTCATTTATTTTTTTCTCTTTGTCTGAAATATTCTTAACCTTCACTCCATAGGGAGAAATAATGTAAATGATTTAAAGAAACTGAATGAAGAGAAATTATTTATTATAATTTTCTTAGTATTGTTTTACCTGCTTAAAGATCAGTCTTATGTCAAGTGCAACTATCTCAGCTAGGCTCATGAAAAAAACAATGCGCAATTATTTTCAAGACTGCTAACATTATAATGATGATGCATTAGATAGAAAGGGAAAATTCACATATTTTATTAACACGTCTATAGCATTATAGTTTGACTACTTTTGACTTTGGCCACAATAATTCTGTACTTGATTATACAGATGATACATAACATGCCATATCACAAAGATGCAATGCATCTTGCATGCTTCTGGCAAGTATTATAATCAAATTTTCATCCGAGGGAAAATTCACACTTAGCTTCATGGAATTCTTTGTAATTTCCAAGTATCAATGTCAGTCACTAAAATGTTTATTTAATATATTATTTGTACACATTAGTTTTCATATGCTACAATTGGCCTATTTGCAGCTAGGCATTTGGAGCCCTGTTAATGATTTGTAGAAGTACAAAAAAACACCATTTTGGAATATTTCCACTGGAACTGAATATCCATTTTAAGAGGTGTCTTAGAATATGGATGGAAACAGATAATAAAGTTTCTATAAGTAAAGGATGTAGTTAATAAGACAGCAAATATCATTTGCTAAACAATACTGTTATGAACAGGGATTCACAGAGAATAGAAGAAATCCCTACAGACTACAGAATACTATCTCACTGCATTTAAGGTAGCAGTTTTTTTTTTAATTTTAAGGAATTATGCTGAGCAGAAATACATTTGATATTATACTTAATAGAGATAGTACTGGGCTCACCCAAAGTACATTTTCTTTCTTTCTTTCTTTCTTTCTTTCTTTCTTTCTTTCTTTCTTTCTTTCTTTCTTTCTTTCTTTCTTCTCTCTCTCTCTCTCTCTCTCTCTCTCTCTCTCTCTCTCTCTCTCTCTCTCTCTCTCTCTTCTTTCCTTCCTTCCTTCTCTCTCTCTCTCTCCCCCCCTTTTTTCTTTCTTTCTTTTTTTGTGAGGCAACTGGGGTTAAGTGACTTGCCCTGAGTCACAGAGTTAGTAAGTGTTATGTGTCTGAGGCCACATTTGAACTTAGTCCTCCTGACTCCAAGGCTGGTGCTCTATTCACTGCACCACCTAGCTGCCCCCTAAAGTACATTTCTACTAGTGTAAGTAGCCTGTGCTATAATTAGATCTTACACCTGAATGCAACATATCTTTTCTAATTTGGAATCTTCATCAAATACAATAAACTATGGTGATAATGCTATTTTTTAAGCAAAGCTAGAGACTGTCAGAAATGTTGAAGTAGGTTAAATTATCATGTCAATAAATTGATCATGTTAATTAGTTTTAAACATAACACTTTCAGAAAGTACTTTGTAAATTTTACAAGGAAACATTTTAAGTATGTTTATTAAAATAATATTTTAAAACACTGTCAGGAAGTATTCAGTTTTCTATTATTCTTCAATATCATCACGACATATTATAGAAATGAAACAGAACTTTTAAAATATATACATAAGGGGGTAGACTCATGTCCCCTCTACCTTACGCATATTTTTCTTCGACATATGGTCATTGCCAAGTCAAATCCATCAAAGCTCTACTGGCATTTCATAAGTCACAGAATCAAGTGGAAGTTACTAACCAAAAGTTGCAAAAACTTCACATAAAATAAGGTACTTCATCCTTTTATACCTACGTGAAAGTGAATGAGACTCATTAATAGTAACTATTTTAATAGTAAAATGTATACAAATTCTGCAAATTAAGGGAAATTATAAGGTTCTCTTTCATATGTAAATGTTGCTTTTTTTTAATTCTTTAAATCACAAGCTTTTCTTGATGTCAAAACAAACCTATGAAGATCATTCATTTGTTATAATATTATGGTAGGATAAAATACCACTCTAGATCTGGAGTTCAATTCTATTTTTATTATTTGATTAGTTTTCTCTAATACTGTTCATTATTTTTTGAAGAACAGTCATCATGTCACCTTTTTCTTAAGTCTCATTTTTTTAACCCTTCTTCAGCATTTGATATGAGAACTAAGGATGAGAATCTTTCAGGGATTTTTTGAGGGTGCGGGGGTTCTCCTACCTGTCTGACCACTACATCTCAATCTTCTTTGCTGGTTTAAATGTTGGAACACCCTGAAGCTCCATCATGTACCCTCTTCTATTTCTAAATTCACTTTTTTGTGGCTTTATTGGCTCATGTAAGTGTTTATTATCTTTCTGTAGGTAACTATAGAACCTAGATTAGCATTCATATGGGCTCCAGTTATGGACTTCCATGTATCTATTCAACATTTCAAATTGGATGTTCCATAGTTATGTCAAATTCAATATGTCCCAAAGAGAATTCATTCTTTTTCTGAAAACCAACTCCTCTTATGAATTTCCCTACTTCTGTCAAGGACATTACCCAGATTCATAAATTTGGCATTTTTCTAGATTCTTTCACTCCATATCAGTTGCCAAATCTTATTGTTTCTACTTCTACATATCTTTTACTTGTTCCCCTCATTTAAATCACAGGGGCGCCGCTCTAAATCAGGCCCTTGTGCTTTCCCTTGTGGACTGTTACAAAAGCCTTCTAATTGGTCTCTGTGCCTCAAGAACTTTCTATTCTAATCCATCCTCTATACAGCTACTAAAATGATTTTCCTAAAGCTCAGGTTTGATTATGACATTGCCTATTCAATAAGCTCCTGTGGCTTCCCTACTGCATGGAAAACCAAATATTAAATAACTCTATTTAGCTTTTAATGTCATTGTCACCTGGTCCCAACCTACCTTTCCAACCTTATTATACATTACTACACTTCCCACAGTCTATGATCTTGCTCAGTTGGGCTTCCTAATTGTCAAAGAATATCTTTGCCTTTGACTGTCTCTCTCCCTTCTAGGAGAGTTAAATTCTACCTTTTACATAAAACTTTTCCCATTCCATTAGCTACTAGTCCAGATTTTCTCAATTATTATGTGCTCTATTGATTCTGTATATAGAATTGTCTTGCCTAATAGAATGTCGTTTCCTTGCAGGGAAGGACTGTTTCATTCATGTCTTTGTATCACTAGTACCTAGAAAAATGTGTGGTCCATAATAGGCATTTAATAAATGGATAATAATTTGATTTATTATGAAGAACATCACGGATTTCGGTGAAAAACAGATACTTCTGGTCCAAGTGAGATTATCATTCACAAACTAAACAATGATTTGTAATCTCTTTGAATTTTACTTTTATATAATTCTTAATCTTTACTATACAACATAGAATAACCAGGCTGATATTCCTACTACTTTATCTCCTTTATACTTTACCTGTTTTGAAATAAGATGAGATTTTCATAGTAATAAGGGCGCAAGACTAAGATAATTGTTAAAAATTGTACCATGAGTTGCTGCAAATATTTACAATTGTCTTTGCTACAAAACCATCATGAAAATTGGAGAAGTTCTTAGTTTTGGGCCCTTATTACCATGAGAATCTCATCTTACTTCAAATATTTGGGAGTCTACCTGCCAAAACAAAACCAGGAACTATATGAACACAATTACAAAGGTAGGCTGAGCTAATATAATAAAAATGACAATTCTACCTAAATTACTTATTCAGTGCCAAACCAGTCAAACTACCAAAAAATTCTTTTTTAGATCTAGAACAAAACAACAAAAGTCACCTGGAAGAACAAAAAGTACAGAATATCAAAGGAACTAATGAAAAGAAATGCAAGCAAGGTGGCCTAGCTGTACCTGATCTGAAATTGTATTATAAAGCAGCAATCATCAAAACTACTTGATACTGGCTAAGAAATAGAGTGGTGGGTCAGTGGAATAGGTTAGGTATGCAAGACACAACAGTCAATGACTGTACTAATCTACTATTTGATGAATCCAAAGACTCCAGATTCTAGGATAAGAAATCACTATTTAGCAAAAATGACTGGGAAAACTGGAAAAACGTATGGCAGTAACTGGACATAGACCAACATCTTACACTCTATATCAAGGTAAAGTCAAAATGGATACACGATTTAGATATAAAGACTGATATTATAAGCAAACAAGAAGAGCAAGGAATAGTTTACCTTTCACATCTATGGAGAAGGAAAGAATTTATTGCCAAGCAAGCAACAGAGAACATTATGAAATACAAAATGAACAACTTTGATTACTTTTGATTACTGAAAAACTGAAAAGTTTTTGCACAAATAAAGCCAATGCACCCAAGATTAGGAGGGAAGCATAAAACTGGAAAGAATTTTTGCAACCAGTGTCTCTGATAAGGGCCTCATTTCTAAAACATATAGAGTTCTGAGTCAAATTTATAAGAATACAAGTCATTCCCCACTTGATAAATGGTCAAAGGATATGAACAGGCAGTTTTCAGAGGAAGAAAATAAAGCTATCTATAGTCATATGAAAAAAATGCTCTAAATCACTATTGATTATATCCCTTTCTGTGGCCTTGTTAAAAAAAAAAAACAACAGGCATCTTTTAAACTGAAACAGTTATCTGGGATTAAATTTAAGTTGATATATTCATCAGTTGAAGGACTTTGATTTTTTAGTGACTTTATAAAATAACACTGTCAAACTAAAATTACGGTGTTTGACTTGTACAATTACATATGAATCTACATATATGCACACACATACAAAGACACATATGTATACATATGTACATATCGATATATGCATTTTTATACTGCCATTCCTACATAACTTCTTATAGATGGAGCTATTTCAAGTGGTCTGATCGCAGCCTTCCTGACTTGAGGTTTATAGGCTCCTAACAAGTTTTTTAAAATGTAGCCTTGTCCCTAGTTTTCTGGCTAAAGTCAGTTAGTCAGCAGGTTCTATACTTTCAGAGTGAAAGAAATGCAAGTACTCCTCTAATCAGTACTCCCTTGCTCTGGTTACTCAACCGCAGACCCCAGTACAGGTCTGTTGGCTGAATCCAAGACCATACCCCAAAGACAGAGCTGTAGGGTGGCTGTTGGTCTGTCCTACTTGCCTAGGTAGTCATCAGTCCATGCTGGATCTGACTACCCATTCAGCATCAGAGCAACAAAGGTACTGGCTGTTGCCTATTGCTATTACCTGTCCTGCACATAGCTGCAAGACCAGTCCAGTTTCCCCCCCTGGAAGCTTTTGTATTGTGCCTTACTGGTTCTACTCTCTCTCCAATCTGTTTTCCTTTGCTGACGTGGGCAGGAAAAATGACTCACTGTGGATTCTCCCTGGGTTTCTCAAATACGTCTCAGTCTAGTACTCTTCCTCTACCTTTGTGGGAGTAGTTGTGGGTGAAAGCTAGGACATATTCTTGCTTTGTCATTTTTGCCAGTCTGGTATACAATTAATTTGAAGATATCGTAAAGAACTGGGAAAATGGAAAAATATCTTGAAAAAACCTAGGGCTCAGAAGAATCTTTTTTCAGGAATGATCAGTAAAACTCCAGAATATGTAGATATTTAGCAAAAAGTTGTAAACATAATCTGTTGTTTCATAAGTCTCCAAATCACAATATACTGTTAGCAGTAACCAATTGTATCAGAAATTTTAAAAAATCATCTGCTTTTAGTTCTTCCTCATGTTCTAAATCCACCTGAATTTCCAACATTTATAAAGTAAAATAAAATTCCATCCTCATCAGCTGTCATCAAAACAAGATTAAGAGATCATAGATCTTGGACATGCTGAGTGATTTCTGAGTAAGACTGAGGATGCACATAGAAGAAATTCAACCAAAGTCAACAAATATCTACTAAGTGACTAGTATTAACAGCCCATTATGTGTGAGGGAAGTAAGCTTTTATTTTAGCCCTAGATACTGAAATGTCCTAAAGAGAAGCTGTGAAGGTAGAACTTGGACCAGTGATTTATGATGGTGGCAAACACATTTACAGGATAGGAACAGCACACTCTAGTGGTGGTCAAAAGAAGAACAGAAACATACCAGGACATGATAGTAATGTGAAGGAGATGGTATGAAGATGGAGAGCACTGGAGATGTATCACTGAATGAAATAGAGACTGGAAGTATGTTAGGACTAAGAGTACCTAGCTTTCTTTCCTAGAACTCTTAGCTTGATATCTAAGGTTCAGATTACTGCAAAGGCACTTGGGATTGTGTGTATGTCTATGGGTGTGAGACAGCGGACTGATAGTCCTGAACTTGGTCTCAGCTTTCCGGTTGTAGAGATGCTGATCCATGTAATTGCAGGTACCATTTAAAATAAAATTTAAGTGGCTGAGTGTGGTGGTACAAGCCTAGAGTCCCTGCTGCTAGGGAGGCACTTGAATTTGAGGAGTTCTTAGTTGTACAGTGGCCCTAAACTGAGTATCTGAACTTAGATGCAAATATGGTAAGCTCCCTAGAAGAAAAGACACTGAGCTGCTGAAGGATAGTAAAATCAAACAGGAAATAAGTAAATAAATAAATAAAATCAAACAGGACAAAAACCCCTAACTAGAAATACATGTTCAATACTCCTCAATCAACCACAAAGTACTGAAATATGTCAACTTAATGCTCCTTATCACTGAAACCTCATATCTGCAGGGCAGTTAACTTGTAATCCATCAATTGTCCTAAAACTGTCTCTACACTATATGTGGAAACGGTGCTTCCTAAAAAAAAACCTTAATAACATAAATGTGATTTATATTTATTCCTTCCACATTGGGACTTTCCTCATCATGGTTTCAATATATTACGGGTCAGCATAAGAAATTTAATGGGAATTTTGAGGGAGTTTTGCGGAACCCGCTGATGATATGAGAAAACCAGCAGGCCACACAAAGTTTAGAAACTCATAAATACATAAAACATGTGTACTACTGTATGATATATTGTATAATATTGTTATACACTAAGTATATTCAATATTATTCTCCTCAAATTTGTTTCATTTCTAAAATTTTCATATTTATTTCCTATTTTAAAATTTCTTTTTTATATAGTACTTTTGCTTAACATTGATCTACATATAGCCTATGACCAAATACTTAACCCAAATTTTAGAATAAGGTACCAAAAACACCCCATAAAAGAAAAAGAAAAAAATCAAACTTCTTCTCTAGTATGAAAGGAAGGCTCAAAAATTTTATACGAATTTTCCAGATTGTGAGGACTCCATTCCCCTAACCCCCACGATGTGGAAGGGACAACCGTACGTAACATATTTAAGTGTATTTAAACTAATGGAGAAAATATTTTAAGATTAGTTATACTGAAATATTACCTTATTTTTATGTAAATGGAAGCTGCTTATCACAAAAAAGTATTATCTATTTATGAAAACAGATCTCCTTGATCTTTTGCTTATAAAATACTTTTAGTTTAGTTAGTTTGAATTTATAGTACTTTTTGAAAAGAAATACAAGAGAATTTATTGAAATGTTAAATAATAAAATCAAGTTTTCCTTTGAATATATTAAATATTTTAAATAAGTCATACTTGTCATTAATTCAAACCAGTATGTAGATTCATACCTCTTCCATCTGTGGTATATCCTGGGCCATGAGGACAAATCTTTATGTACTGGGCAGTTACAGGAAGTGGGCAAAGTTCATGTTGGTTACGCCAGTCCCATCCTTCACGACAGCAACACTCAGACTTTGTGACAAGGTTCTGGCTACTGGAAGCCATGTGACACATTGACTGTAGAAGTTCAGCAAAGCAGAATCTTTTTCTGTCATCTGCATGAATAAAGTGGAGGAAAAATACCAATCACCATAAAGGCCTATGATTTTTATTTATTATCAACATTCACAAATAAGCCTTAAATATATCTGTCAATGACTGTTGTCCAAAAAATGGTTTGCAGCAAGTACTTTAGCTATAATTATTCTTTTTCAAAAAGTTTGCTAAGGACAATCATTATGTAGTGCAAAGCTACTATTTTAAGGTATTACATAATGTTTTTCTTATAAGTAATAAAAATTATTTATAATCTTTGCTTCAGTCTCAGGATGGTATTGACACGGACACTTAGTATGAGTTTACACATTAAAGCACAAGAATTATCAGGTGCCCCTTAAAGCTAAAAAAACCCCTTTCTTTTAAGAAAAAGTTTACTAAATTTGACTAAAGGTAGTTTATTACCTTATAATAAGCACTCTATAAGAACTGCCTCAGTGACCACAGAAGCTTCCTTTCAGTCCTCATTGCTGACCCTGGTAATTCCTTCTCTTTCTCTTCCACCAAAACCAGCTGTTGCTATTATATTTTTCTGATCCTTTAATCATATCCCTTCATTTCACCTTGGCCTGAGATTTGTCAGGGTTTGAATCTGGGATAATAGGTTTCTTGCTTCCTTCCACAATCCCAGTTCCTTATCTCTCATCTTTGCTTTCTTTCAAGAGATCTCTTCCTTCTCCTTCCCTCTCTCAGTCCCTATCCTGTTGATGTTTAATTTGTGTGGAGCTATCCATTTACAAGTGACATGGAATCTTCTCAGTAAATGTGAACTTTTACTTTCACTATTTGGCAGGAATAATGCAATAATTTGGCAGGAAGATATGCAAGTGTAGCATACATACCCCCCACCAAAAAAAGAATTTTAGAACAGCTAAAACGAAGCCTCCTGGAAAGAATGGAAATATTCAGTTTGTTTTTGACCCACTGACTACAGAGAGCTTATGCTTTAAAAAAAGAAAGTTATCTTTCTCTTGCCTTGAAGGAAAAAATCTTATAAGAGGAAAGGTGTGTGTGTGGAATAGGAATCTTTTGTGCAGGGGTTTTGAGAGAGCTTGTAGTTAGTGTGAAGGTAGGCAGGGCTGCTGGGAAAACAGAGGCCACAAAAAAAATGATGCTGCCTCAACCTTCTACACCTGAAAGAGCAGCTTGAAATTAAAAGGCGAGGTGTCTGGTTAGATTGGTTGCTGTTTACCTTGGCATTCAGAAGAACTGACGGAAGTTTTTGCCTAGCCCTCCTCTCCCCTCTTTCTCTGATCAGGAAAGCATATGTTAAGTCCAAAGTCTTCTTTAAAATTTGTTTATATTTCTATTCCATTAGTATTGAAAGCTGATACAAGTATGATAGACAACAGCAATTACTGATTTTATGTATTTCAATATTGTTAACAGGATGTGAGAGACAGAACTAAGGCATTAAACACACACACAAAAATAGATTCACTGTCTGAAGTTGCTAGAACATTTTCTCTGGAGTCTCCGGAATAAAATGAAAAAGAATCTTGTTGATTTATGTTTAACTTCAAAGAGGGACAGAAGCATGAATCTATTTTGCTCCTAGAAATAAAGAGTGAGCTCAGTTGCAGTTTCCGTCTGGTGAAGTGATTGGGGTTTGGGCCTTCACCATTCTCCTGCTCTGACCATGAGGGTGATGACTACAGGCAAAGTCACACTGAATGAGGGGAGTGGCTGGAAAAGGCTGGTAAGCACTGCATTTTAAAGGTGGGGGCAAAGGGAGAGGGAGTAAAAATCCTTCCTCTTTCAGGAGTCAGGCAGAATCTTTTCACTTAACACAAACAAGCACTTACATGAATGATGAAGGTGTTTGTAGTATCCCAATTTTAAACTATGAATTTATTTTTTCTTTTAAAAAAGTTAGGGCAGCTAAGTGGTGCACTGGATAGAGCACCAGCCTTGGAATCAGGAGGACCTTAGTTCATAATCCAGTCTTAGATATATAACACTTACTAGCTGTGTGACTCTGGGCAAGTCACTTAACCCCAATTGCTTCACCCAAAAATAAATAAATAATAATTTTAAAAAAGTATAGTTATTGACTATTGTGACTTGCATACCTAACCTATTCCACTGACCCATTACTTATTTCTTAGGCAGTACCAAGTAATTTTGATGATTGCTGCTTTATAATATAAGTGAAGATCTGATATGAATAGGCTACCCTCCCTTGCATTTCTTTTCATTAGTCCCCTTGATATTCTGGACTTTTTGTTCCTCCAGATGAATTTTGTTATTGTTTTTTCTAGCTCTATAAAATAATTTTTGGTAGTTTGATTGGTATGGCACTTAATAAACAATTCAGGTAGTACTGTCATTTTTATTATATTAATTCAGTCTACCCATGAACAATTGATATTTTTCCAATTACTTAGATCTGTGTGAAAAGTATTTTGTAATTGTGTTCATATAGTTCCTGGTTTTGTTCTGGCAGATAGAGTCCCAAATATTCTATAATGTCTACAGTAATTTTATTTTTTAATTTATTTTTAGTTTTCAACATTCACTTGCATAAGATTTTGAGTTTTAAATTTCTCCCCCTCCCTCTTCTACCCCCACCACCAAGATGGTGTGCAATCTGATATAGGCTCTACTTATACATTCATATTAAGCATATTTTCCTATTAGTCATGATATAAAGAACAATTAGAACTAATGGAAAGAATCTTGAGAATAAAACAATAAAACAAAACAACAAAGGAAAAGGAGAGCAGATAGTATGCTTCCATCTGCATTCAGGCTCCATAGTTCTTTCTCTGGATGTGAATAGCAATTTGTATTGTGAGTCTTAGATTGTTGTCTTAGATTCTTGCATTGATGAGAAGAGCTAAGTCTAACAAAGTCAGTCATCACATAGTGTGGCTGTTACTATGTACAATGTTCTGGTTCTGCTCATTTCACTCTGCATCAGTTATGTAAGTCTTTCCAAGTTTTTTTGAAGTCTGCCTGCTCATCATTTCTTATAGCACAATAATATTCCATTACATTCATATACCACAGCTTGTTCAGCCATTCCCCAACTGATGGGCATTGCCTCAATTTCTAACTCTTTGCCACCACAAAAACAGCTACTATAAATACTTTTGTACATATAGGTCCCTTTCCCATTTGTATGATCTCTTTGGGATACAGCCCTAGTAGTACTATTGCTGGGTCAAAGGTTATGTACATTTTTAAAGCCCTTTGGACTTAGTTCCAAATTGCTCTCCAAAATGGTTGGGTCATTTCACAACTCCGCAACAATGCATTAGTGTTCCAATTTTCCCACATCTTATCCAACATTTATCATTTTCCTGTTTTGTCACGTTGGCCAATCTGAGGTGTGATGTGGTACTCAGAGTTATTTTCATTTGCATTTCTCTAATCAATAGTGATTTAGAGAATTTTTTCATATGACTATAGATAGCTTTAGTTTCTTCCTCTGAGAACTGCCTGTTCATATCCTTTGACCATTTATCAAGTGGGGAATGACTTGTATTCTTATAAATTAGACTTAGCTCTCTATATATTTTAGAAATGAGGCCCTTATCAGAGACACTGGTTGCAAAAATTCTTTCCAGTTTTATGCTTCCCTCCTAACCTTGGGTGCATTGGCTTTATTTGTACAAAATCTTTTCAATTTAATGTAATCAAAATTGTTCATTTTGTCTTTCATAATGTTCTCTATTTCTTGTTTGGTAATAAATTCTTCCTTTCTCCATAGATGTGAATGGTAAACTATTCCTTGCTCTCCAAGTTTGCTTACAGTATCAGTCTTTGTATCTAAATCGTGTATCCATTTTGACTTTACCTTGGTATAGAGTGTAAGATGTTGGTCTATGTCCAGTTACTGCCATACGTTTTTCCAGTTTTCCCAGTCATTTTTGCTAAATAGTGATTTCTTATCCTAGAATCTGGAGTCTTTGGATTCATCAAATAGTAGATTAGTACAGTCATTGACTGTTGTGTCTTGCATACCTAACCTATTCCACTGACCCACCACTCTATTTCTTAGCCAGTATCAAGTAGTTTTGATGATTGCTGCTTTATAATACAATTTCAGATCAGGTACAGCTAGGTCACCTTTGCTTGCATTTCTTTTCATTAGTTCCTTTGATATTCTGTACTTTTTGTTCTTCCAGATAAATTTTGTTGTTGTTTCTTCTAGCTCTATAAAATAATTTTTGGTAGTTTCATTGGTGTGGCACTGAATAAGTAAATTAATTTAGGCAGAATTGTCATTTTTATTATATTAGCTCATTCAATCTTTGTAATTGTGTTCATACAGTTCTTGGTTTTGGTTTGGCAAATACTAGTTCTTGTAGTAACTTCTGGAATTGGGTAATAGATTATATAAATACTGTACATGAAAGCAGGAGAGTACAGCACAAAATCAATGAATAGGTCATTTACATGTGACTGACTAGTTCAATCAAATATTTTATAGTATCTACAGTAATTTTAAATGGAATTTCTCTTTCTATGTCTTGCTGCTAGGCTTTGTTAGTAATACATAGAAATGCTGATGATTTGTGTATGTTTATTTTATATCCTGAAACTCTGATAAATTTATTATTTCAAGTAATTTTTTACTTGATTCTTTAAATATATCATCATATCATCTGCAAAGAGTGATAGCTTTATTTCTTCTTTGCCTATTCTAATTCCTTCAATTTCTTTTCCTTCTCTAATTGCTACAGCTAACATTTCTATAACAATATTGAATAACATTGGTGATAATGGACATTCTTGTTTCACCTCCAATCTTACTGGAAATTCTTTTAGCTTATCCCCATTACATATAATTCTTGCTGATGGTTTTTGATACATGCTATCTATCATTTTAAGGAAGACTCCATTTATTCCTATGCTCTCTAGTGTTTTAATGGCTGGACCCAAAGAGTATTCACTAAGGATTTGATGCAAACTTTGAAGTGTTCAGTAGTTCTCTGCTTTGTTCTGTGCTAGTAAACATTTTTATCAATGATTTTGATAACAGCATAGAGCG